CCGAAAAAAAAAATGTTCTGGATAGTGGGACAACCAGACACAAATGAGACTCAACTCATAAATAAAATCATTCAAACCCTTTTAAAAATGAACTCTTATTTTATAATTATTTCATACAGAGAGAAGAACATTCCATAACGGAGCTCCAGTCACAAGCTTGCTCAAAGAAACCAAATACTGCAGTACTGGAGAAACTCAAAGAAGAAATGGAGAAACTTTACCGTCAAAAGGTAACAACAGAAAATATACAAAATAAAGACTTAACTCACTATACAGCTGCAAATCCAATAACCTGATGGTTGCTAAAGTAGTTATAAGATTTTCTGTATTCTAAAATCTGATGATGATGATGATGTGCACAGAATCTATTCGTTGAAGGTGGCCACTGATTCTTATAATTAAAGGTACTATATATGCCGCTAACCTTCGTTATTTTCTGCTGTCAACAGGATAAATCTGACATTTCTTACATAGCAAAGGTTATTGACTTTCTGTTAATCAATATCACACCTCCAAGGAAAATGAGAATATTTCATGTCAAATTTTAGCATGCTTCTTATTTCTTGTTTGGTATTACTTCTTCATAGGAAAATTGTAGCCATTTAACATACCAAGTGACAAAATAGATCTTGATTTATTAAGAAGAAAAGCATGTCTATTGTGTAAACATTACCTCTGACCCATTCACACCCATAGTTACTTTCAATTGGATTTTGCTCTCGTGATATCTGATAAATTTGTTAATAAATGCATAATGCATAATTTTATGCCTTCAACTGACGGCATGACGACAAGTGGAGATGATGTTGATCGTTTCTATTCGTTCCTGGAGACCTCAAATTCTGTTTGTTGACAGAGGCCATCAATTCTGATTATTAAAGAAACTGAAATCTATGTATTTGAAATTGTTCAAAATGACATTTTGGCTCACCTGGACCCAAGTGAGCTTATGCCATGGCGTGTCATCTGGCATCCAGATTTTATTTTAAACTACTTCTTCTTAATATTAAACCAAAAGTCCTAGGGTGATGATATTTAGCGAGAAGCAAAATTCGATGAAGGTCTACCAAGTTTGTTCAAATAAATGACCTTTTTCAAGGTTACAGGAGTCGATAGTATTGAAAAAAACCTTCTGAATAACCAGAAGAACCAGTATGATGATAATTGGCTACAAAGTTTGTTCAAATGAATGACCTTCACTTAAAATCTTCTGTATAACAAAAATTTCCAGCATGAGCCAGAAACATGTTGGAATGAAAGGCTACCAAGTTTGTTCAAATGAATGACCTTCACCCATATTCAAGGTCACAGGGGTCAAATATGTCAAAAAAAATAAATGACTTCTAAATAACAAATGCAAAGGATGGCAACATGTGACAAGTATCATACTCGGATGAAGGGCTATCAAGTTTCCATGTGAATGACCTTGACACACTTTCAAGGTCACATCTTGTCATTTGTGTTTAAATCTTTAATAGTCATCTTCTCAATTAACGGCAGTATAGGGCAGTTGTATTTGCATTCTTGGATGAAGGGCTATAAAAATTGTCCAATTTAATGTGCTTGTTTGACTTTCAAGGTCACAGGGGTCGCATGTGTTTAAATCTTTTAACAGGTTCTTTTGAATGACTTTGAGTCAAGACACTGATATTTTGCCTGTAACTATATTTTAGTCCACTTTTGATATAAGGTTATAATTATGAGTTAAAAACCAGGTGAGCAATGCAGGGCCATTTGGCCTCTTCTTCTAAACATTTTCTTCAGATTGGTAAGTATGAATTATGGAAAGTGTTTTGTTACACAACCAATAAGTGTTTCTGTGTGATGTTTCGATGACTTGTACGGTATGTACTCGGTCACCTTCATCAGAAAAATGACCAGTGAAGCGTATGCACACAAAGGTGTAAAATGTGTACGAGTTGTCCACAAATCAATGTTGATTTGGCTACGCTGTTGGAGTATGACCAATTATTGTTATATATGCACCGAAATAACTTGATCCAGCTACGCTTTGTTTAATACTTGGTCATAGATGTGGGAGAGTCTATGAGCCCCCTCGTCTCGATTTAGAATATCATTCAATTTGTTTTACATAGATCATTGCCTCAGAAAATTTGTTAACAGTAAAATTTGTTTTGTATTTGCAGGAAGCAATCAAAAGTAAAGGGAAACTGAGAGTGGACAGTTCTGCTTTACCAGGAACTGTGACAAGTCTGGACTTATGACAAGGACGTTCTTCTTAGGGACCATCATCATACATTATATGTACAGAGATCTCGCAGGCAGATTACTAGCTGTGCTTGGAGTCATACATTATATGTACAGAGATCTCGTAGGCAGACTACTAGCTGTGCCTGGAGTCATACATTATATGTACAGAGATCTCACAGGCAAACTACTAGCTGTGCTTGGAGTCATATATGTTCCATCATCGCCATAATTCCCATTGAATAAGAAAATCCTATTAATTGAAGGAGGCCACCAAATCTGTTCATACACAGCCATCGATTCTAATAATGGAGGCCACCAATTGTTTCTTAACTTTGGAGAACGCCATTATTTTTACTTTATATATATTTTTTTGCGATTTGTTTGTGGTAGATTTGCTTGTTACTTGATGCTTTGATGTATAGACATTCCAGTACACTCCAACATACCTGAAGGCCATGACATGTAGCCTTCATTTTTGTACGTTCGGTTTTGTTTTGTGCTGAAAACTATGCGATATAGTTATAATTCAACGTGTAAAAGTGAAATAGTTGCAATTATACTGTACATTTTGTATATTAAATTGTCGATGAATTGAGATGAAGAAAATTTGTGATTTCAAAAATGTTTTTGACATTAAATCTGAATGGTTATCATTGATAAATTTAGTCAAATGCAATAAATTGATAACATTAATTCCTTTATTGTTTGATGTAATTGTAATGAGAATAGGAAACAAGATTGTTGATGTAATTGTAATGAGAATAGGAAACAAGATTGTTGCAATGATACTGCTTTCTTATCAAAATTTGTAAAAATGAAATGATTGGAAAAAAGTTATGTCGATGAAAAGATGATTTTAAACGTTTTTTTATATCAAATCTGAATTGTCAATTGATAATCAGTCCGATGTGATCATCTGATAACAACCATTTAGATATTTTGTGGTGTCATTGTAATTAATACCACGCATCAAAATGAGTACAGTTGATATTAATTCAAATTACTTATGTTAAAGGCAAATCTTACAATTTAAATTTGGTTTTGCCATGAATTCTTACATTATTATCAAAGTAGAATCAGTTGAATGCAATCATTTGTTTACAACTTTTACATTATGAATATAAACCTAATACTGATCACCTCTACCAAGTGCCAGAGAACTAAGATCTGCTGTCATCTAATCAGTACGTCAATACATCACAATTAAGGCAAAAAGTAAAAAATATTAACATGCAGTTTTGTCAAAAAAAAGACCATTTTAATTTTGGTTCTCCACTTTACCCGCTCATATCTTTCATGTCATATTTTGTGTACAAATAATTAAACTTTTCGATGATAGCCATCAGAAGGCCCAAATTGGCACCCCTTCTTTGCCCTCATTACGGAGGATGAAAAGGGCAAAGTTAAATTATCTGCCGTGAAAATTTCCCAGTATATTGTAATCTATCAGTGAATTATATTTTATTCTTTGTTTAAATCTATAAGTCTCTGACTAAAGCACTAGTATTGGTGTCAAACATGTTCTGCAATATTTATTGTAGCAGATATTTCCAGTATTACATTTGTTAAATAAAAGTGTTATCCTAATCATCATTCACTTTCACTGATCAGCTTAGTAGGCCCTCTGTTAATGTTGGAGAATCAGGAAAAATTGTGATAAACTTTTGTGTTCCTTATGCTAGTTTGCATATGCACAAACATGTAGTATAAAAATACTAAAAACAAATTATTGGAAAGATCCAACAAGAGATCGGGGGGGGGGGGACAATATACGCCCGTCAAATGCCATATAGTGTTATATACTTTCTTACATTGAAATAAGATCTGCATCATTCTGAGAGTAGTTGGCCAACATGCTATAAAAAATGGAGAAGAAAATCTCCGGACAAAAAATCAAATACTGAAATGAACAAAGGGCAATAACTTTTGGAAAAATTTGTTGAATCAAAATTCTTTTAAGGGAGACACAACTTCATATCATGATTATAATTTATACCAAGTTTCAAAGAGATCGGTCGAAAAATGTAGGAGGAGATTGCTGGACAAACAAAAGTTCACACCGGACGGACAACCCCCATACCATGATACTGCCGTCAAGTTTGACGGGTGTATAAAAACTACTGACTTGTGACATGGAAGTGATGATGTCAATTATTTAATTGAACTTCTTTCTTTTTGAGGATTTCCATCATTTGTTGCCTTGCCCCCAACAATAGTATCTCCTGTAGGAAGATAAAGTCAGTAGCGTAGGGTTCTAGTCATTGAGATCGTTAAAGTAGCATGGCAGTAATGTTGGCAGTACACATGTACTGGTTGCCTTGGTAAAAGTGTATCAATAGAATTTCCTAAGTTTCAGTGTTTTATACAAAAAAAAAGAACTAGTACAGATTACTTATACAATTGGTCCAGTAGTGGTAACTATGTTCTGTATAGTAAACATATAGAAATGTTACTGTAACATCTCTTAAGTACACTGAAGTACAGTGATTACTTCAAATCCTGATAGGGAGGTTAACTTCTGCTATATTTGTGATCCAAGCACTATCTGAAAATTGTAAATATGGTTGAAGGTCATCAGTTTTCTACATACATCTACATGTCATTTAAAGAGTTATCTCCTATTTGATAAGTAAGAATTTCAGACTGTTATCAATGCATGTATTCTTCGGTTCCTTTTGGGATTATTAGCAATTTTTCTGTACATTTCTCGGGTGTCATCAATTCTTGTGCAATTTTTTAAATGTGTCACTTCTTGTGTACCTTCCAACATGTGTCATCAATTCTTGTTATCCGCTTATTATTCAAAGTGATCAAATATTTTGGATGAGTGTGGAATGTGGAACTCTCTAAGGATGGATATTTTTATCAGACCAAGTAAGCATGTATCCTTAAAGAAAATAAATTAAAATTGATAAGTGTTACAGCAGTAGTGTGACTATGTTTACTACAGATGTACATCATTCTCTGTCATGTTGTCATGCCTTGAGTTATTCCTGCTTGTGTATTTCGAGCCTCATTCCCAATGTGATTTAGACATTTTTCATCCAAACTTTATGAAGAACAATCCCATAGTATAAACAAAAGAATTAAATATGATTCATTTTGTAATTTTTAGCTCACCTGGCCACAGGAAAAACTGTTAGCTAAACCGTCTCAATAGTCATCTCAGCTAGTCACAATAAAGATGTTGTATTGTGTTTATTTATAATTGATATGTTACACATGCTCTGCATCCTTCCATTGCAATGCATTGAGAATGCAAATGTTGTTATGAGACTATAACAACATTTGCTTTTGTAACATCAATTTCATTGTTGTCAATACTTGATTTGCTGTTAAAAAAACTTCGAAATTACTAAATAAAGCAAAAACTACTCTTATCAAAAAGTAAATATAAGTCATTAATATTTTAGCAAATATTGTTATGGTCCTATAACACACATTTCTATTGCTGACAAACTTACATTAAGCCCTACAAGGCTTTATTTAGTTTGTCATCAATAGCAATGTCTGTTATAGGACCATAACAACATTTGCTAAAACATTCATTGCTTAAATATTACCTGATAAATGAACATCAGTTATGCCAATCGATCCACATTTAATTGGCTTAACAAAATTTTCCTGTTTTTTGAAATGTCCATCATTTTGATATCATTTTGTTGAATAATCTGGAAGGAATATCAGAGGTTATCAGTCTGTCGCATGTCGTGGAAAGTGTTTTGATTTGAATCGAAGTCAGTGGTTTTATAGTACTGGGAAAGAGGTGTACCCTGAAAAAGTGATAGAATTTGTCCGATATTTCCTGAAAAGTGCTGTAATAAATAACAAACACTCCAGGAATTGATAAGAAATATTGAGCATAGGTGATATCAAAAGAAAGAAATTATTTCAAATCTGTTGTAATTCGTATTAATTTGTGCCATATAACGTATAGTATGAATGATTATTGTTGTGAAAAACTCTATGAGCCATGTATCAGAAAGTTGGCAGCCATTTGATGTCCTAAGGACTACAAGGGATATCAAAACTTCTAGAGGATTTAAAGTGAAATATTTACAACTCGTGTAAAAAAATGTATCAACAATGTGTGTGATCTTTTGCAACATAGAAACTGTGTGATCCAAACCTCCATAAAAGTCTGTTTCACCACTTTAGTCTACTAAATTGTTATAAGGATATTTTTTCTTTAAAGTATTATATAAAGAATGATGAATGATTTTGTTCCAAATGTGAAGACTGTAGGCTTAAAATGCATTTTCATAATTTTTTTCTCAACATTATCCACCTCTATAATCTCTAATAAATAGTCCATATTTAGATATTAGTCCCAACTATAGTTTATATGACTGATTGTTTCTAGACCTCTGGTCTGTAGCCTACGTCAATAAAGTACAGAGGATCTCATACTGGCCTATTGTTTGAGATGTATGGTCATTACTCTGGTGTTGTGTTCCTAGACCTACAGTCAGTTACATGGCCTGATGATTGAGACTATACTCTGTTCCTAGAGCCTATGGTCAGTACTCTGGTGTTGTGTTCCTAGACCTACAGTCAGTTACATGGCCTGATGATTGAGACTATACTCTGTTCCTAGAGCCTATGGTCAGTACTCTGGTGTTATGTTCCTAGACCTACAGTCAGTTACATGGCCTGATGATTGAGACTATACTCTGTTCCTAGAGCCTATGGTCAGTACTCTGGTGTTATGTTCCTAGACCTACAGTCAGTTACATGGCCTGATGATTGAGACTATACTCTGTTCCTAGAGCCTATGGTCAGTACTCTGGTGTTATGTTCCTAGACCTACAGTCAGTTACATGGCCTGATGATTGAGACTATACTCTGTTCCTAGAGCCTATGGTCAGTACTCTGGTGTTATGTTCCTAGACCTACAGTCAGTTACATGGCCTGATGATTGAGACTATACTCTGTTCCTAGAGCCTATGGTCAGTACTCTGGTGTTATGTTCCTAGACCTACAGTCAGTTACATGGCCTGATGATTGAGACTATACTCTGTTCCTAGAGCCTATGGTCAGTACTCTGGTGTTATGTTCCTAGACCTACAGTCAGTTACATGGCCTGATGATTGAGACTATACTCTGTTCCTAGAGCCTATGGTCAGTACTCTGGTGTTATGTTCCTAGACCTACAGTCAGTTACATGGCCTGATGATTGAGACTATACTCTGTTCCTAGAGCCTATGGTCAGTACTCTGGTGTTATGTTCCTAGACCTACAGTCAGTTACATGGCCTGATGATTGAGACTATACTCTGTTCCTAGAGCCTATGGTCAGTACTCTGGTGTTATGTTCCTAGACCTACAGTCAGTTACATGGCCTGATGATTGAGACTATACTCTGTTCCTAGAGCCTATGGTCAGTACTCTGGTGTTATGTTCCTAGACCTACAGTCAGTTACATGGCCTGATGATTGAGACTATACTCTGTTCCTAGAGCCTATGGTCAGTACTCTGGTGTTATGTTCCTAGACCTACAGTCAGTTACATGGCCTGATGATTGAGACTATACTCTGTTCCTAGAGCCTATGGTCAGTACTCTGGTGTTATGTTCCTAGACCTACAGTCAGTTACATGGCCTGATGATTGAGACTATACTCTGTTCCTAGAGCCTATGGTCAGTACTCTGGTGTTATGTTCCTAGACCTACAGTCAGTTACATGGCCTGATGATTGAGACTATACTCTGTTCCTAGAGCCAATGGTCAGTACTCTGGTTTTAGGTTCCTAAACCCACAGTCAGGTACATGGCCTGATGATTGAGACTACTCTGTTCCTAGAGGCTATGGTCAGTTCTCTGATGTTATGTTCCTAGACCCACAGTCAGTTACATGGCCTGATGATTTAGACTATACTCTGTTCCTAGAGCCAATGGTCAGTACTCTGGTGTTATGTTCTTAGGCCTACAGTCAGTTACATGGCCTGATGATTTAGACTATACTCTGTTCCTAGAGCCAATGGTCAGTACTCTGGTGTTATGTTCCTAGACCTACAGTCAGTTACATTGCCTGATGATTGAGACTATACTCTGTTCCTTGAGCCTATGGTCAGTACTCTGGGGTTGTGTTCCTAGACCTACAGTCAGTTACATTGCCTGATGATTGAGACTATACTCTGTTCCTTGAGCCTATGGTCAGTACTCTGGTGTTAGGTTCCTAGACCTACAGTCAGTTACATGGCCTGATGATTGAGACTATACTCTGTTCCTAGAGCCTGTGGTCAGTACTCTGGTGTTATGTTCTTAGGCCTACAGTCAGTTACATGGCCTGATGATTGAGACTTTACTCTGTTCCTAGAGCCTATGGTCAGTACTCTGGTGTTGTGTTCCTAGACCTACAGTGTCGGTTACATAGCCTGATGATTGAGACTATACTCTGTTCCTAGAGCCTATGGTCAGTACTCTGGTTTTAGGTTCCTAGACCTACAGTTAGTTACATGGCCTGATGATTGAAACTATACTCTGTTCCTAGAGCCTATGGTCAGTACTCTGGTTTTAGGTTCCTAGACCTCCAGTTAGTTACATGGCCTGATGATTGAAACTATACTCTGTTCCTAGAGCCTATGGTCAGTACTCTAGTGTTATGTTCCTAGACCTACAGTCAGTTACATGGCCTGATGATTGAGACTATATTCTGTTCCTAGAGCCTAAGGTCAGTTATCTGGTGTTATGTTCCTAGACCTACAGTCAGTTACATTGCCTGATGATTGAGACTATACTCTGTTCCTAGAGC